TGGGTATGCCTTTAACAGGCGGGTTCTCAGCAGGTCCTAGTGTACAGGTTCCTGTACAGAAGGTGTTCTCCAAACCTCCGTCGCAGGTTGCCGTAAGCGGGCAGCCTGCTGTCTCGCAGCCTGCACAGCCGCAGGGTACACAGCCCCAGCAGCAGCTAGTGCAGCAGCCTGCATCACAGGGTCCACAACCCAGAATGGTGCAGGTACCGGGACAAAGTCAGTGGGTTCCAAAGACGGCCATCGCTGCTCCTACACCCTTTATAGGGGATAAGAGGGGCGAAGACCTCGACACATGGTCGAGGGCAGTGCCAGTCTACGTTAAGTGCAAACTTAGGAAGTGTTTGTGGCTTGCCTCCTATCTAGAGGGGAGTGCAGCAAGATGAATGAGCGGTTTAGTGCAGTTACAGGGATACGGTCATGACTTCCGCGCTTGGGCAGTCAACCAGAAATTGGATGACTTCCTCAAGATGGTGGAAGACAGGTGGCATGATCCTTAGGAGGCCCAAAAGGCCACTGTTGCGATCCTGACTCTGCATACTAGGCAGTTTAAGTCAGTAAGAGAAGCCACAGACGCAGTAGAGCGTCTGATCTGTGTCCCTGGGGTGCGTTATGACCCCCAGGTTTTACTCACCTCCTACCTGAGATGCTTTCTTATGCCTCTCAGGAATCAGTTGGCGGGTGAGGCCAACATCAACATGCACAACTTCCCCTCGTTTAGCAAGAAGGCCCTAGACCTGGAAGCAAAGATAGGGCATGGTCAGACACCCACGACGGATGGTAGGAAAAAGTCACTGCCTCCCAACTGGAAAGTGAAGGGACGCATCATGTTCGTCGACAACGATGGTTCCACCATCGAGTTGGACGACGACTTCCAGGGTGGAGTAGTTGCTGTCGTAACTCAAAAAGGTAAGGCGACCGGTAGACGCCGTGGAGGTTCTCGGACTAGGAGTCAAGTTGACCCCAACGCTCCTCCATGGGAGAAAGCGGGTCTAACAGAGGATGTGTGGAGAGACCGGTACACCCGGCAGGCTTGTATTCGTTGTGTCCAATATGGCCATAATCAATTCAAGTGCTGTAACAAAAAGATGACCGAGAAGATCCCGCCTACGATGGGGCAAGCATTGGGATCCTCCGCTCCCGTTGATAGCAATGTGGCCAGCGGTTCTGGCACTGCTCCGAGAAACGCGTCGGGCCAGTAGGAATAATAGTTGTTCTTGCTAGGGTCGAGGTGGTGGACACACCCTCACCATCTCGAGAGATGGCCCAAGCTACTGACTCCATCGTCGCCCGCAAACACATTCAGACCCATCGAGCCTCTGTTCAATGAATGTGTTTGAATCCTTAGAGGAGCTAGAGGAGGAGTGGTCTAGATCAGACCCCCTAGCTTCTTGGACGGCATTAGCTAAAGCCCCTATGTTCGTCGGCGAGGTAGTCATTGGCGGCCGCAAGGCCGGGGCCTATTATGACACTTGCTCGACACAGAACTTCATTAGTCGCGCGTGCGTTGAGAGGCTGCGCTTACAGGGGCAAGTGCAGCACCTGAGTCGACTTGTGGAGTCGACCTGAGCCAATAAACAGCGCATGTTAGTTAATAATGACTACCTCTAGGATGTTGAGTATTGTTTCTCGTACGTGGGAGGGGAACTGAGACAGCGCGTCTCGTTCCTAGTGAGCGATGATCTCCCTCTGTTGCATAGCCCCAGTTTGACTAGGAGCGAAAAGTGGTCAAACACACTTTGCCAGGTGGGGGGACCGCCAAATTACGTGAGTTTAAGGCTAGTAATCTGATCGAGTCCTACGGATGCATGTGTGCGGCCGCGTTCTATAATATGTCTCTACAGCAGGTGAGCCGGTGAAAATGCCGCCGGAGATAGAGGGAGTAGTTGCCAAGTACCCTTGATCTATTTGAAGAGCCTACAGGGGTTGTTGAGAGGACGTCCACGTGATAGAGATTATCCCAGGATCTAGCATCCCGAAGGGTAGGATCTATCGGATGTCTCCAGGCGAGCTTGATGAGCCTCGTCGGCAACTCATGGAACTCGTAGAGAAGGGTTGGATCCGACTGAGTGTCTCTCCTTATGGTTCTCCAGTCCTATTCGTGCCAAAGAAGGGGGGCACTCTGAGGATGTGCATTGACTATAGGGGCCTCAATGCCATCAAGGTCAAGAACCGAGAGCCCCTACCGCGCATTGATGATTTGCTAGATAGAGTGCAAGGGTGCCGGTACTTCAGTAAGATAGATCTGAAGTCCGGGTACCATCAGATTGCAATACGACTCGAGGATAACACAAAACCCCCTTTCAGACCAGGTACGGTCTGTACGAGTTTGTGGTGATGCCTTTCGGCCTTTGCAATGCTCCTGGCACCTTTCAGCCCGCTATGAATCGGATCTTTCATGACTAGTTGGATAAGTTTGTCATCGTGTACCTCGATGACACACTTATTTTTAGTAGGACTGTCGAGGAGCATGTAGTGCACTTAGACAAAGTCCTCAGTCTCCTCCGACAGCACAAGTTCAAGATCAATGGGGGAAAATGCGAGTTTGGTCGCACCCGGATCTTGTACTTGGGTCATGAGATTTTCGCAGAGGGTTTGAAGCCCGATGATACGAAGGTGGCCAGCATTCGTGACTGGCCGCGTCCTCAGTCTGTGACTTAGATGAGATCTTTCTTAGGGATGGCCGACAACTACCACAATTTTGTAAAGAACTATAGCATGGTGGCCTCCCCTTTGACTGACCTGGCGCGCCTTGACACCCCATGGGAGTGGACAAACAAGTGCGAGGCTGCTTTCAGACATCTGAAGCATGCGTTGACGCACCATGACGTCTTGAAACTTCCTGATCCTGACAAGTCGTTTATAGCAACTACGGATGCTAGCCAATATGGCAAAGGCGCTGCGCTCGCGCAGCAGGAGGGGCCAAAGTTGAGGCCAATCGAGTACATGTCCAAAAAGATGCCCTCTTAGAAGTTGGCTAAGTCCACCTATGAGAAGGAGCTCTACACGATTTACAAGGCACTGACCCATTGGAGATATTACCTCCTTGGGAGGTTCTTCATCGTCAGGACTGATCATCAGACCCTGAAGTGGATGAGAACCCAGCCTGTGCTCTCTGATGCTTTGAAGCGCTGGATCGAAGTCATTAAACAATATGACTTCGAACCGCAGTATTTGAAGGGGGAGTACAACAAAGTTGCTGATGCCTTATCGTGTAGGCCTGATTTCTCTAGTGCGCTGATCACTGAGTTCGGGCTTGCGGACGATGTCACTCGCTCGTTGGTGGAAGCCTATCGTGAGGACCAGTTTATGTATGAGATCATACGCAGACTCGAGGCGAAGGACAAGTTGACTTCTGCCGAGTTTGAGTTGGTCAATGGGCTGCTGTTCGTTGAGAAGGCATAAATAAACGTTTGTGTGTGCCAGATAGAGAGTCTTTGCATAGTTTATTTTTAGGCGAGTGTCATGATGCCACCGGACATTTTGGCTACAAAAAGTCAGCAGCCAA